GTTATGTAGTACATAATTACAACTCGGAGAAAGTCACTTCGGTAGTTGCCGTTGATAAGTTTCGAACCCGCACGTACTCTCATGCATGAGAAGCGGGCGTCTTAAACCTCCGGCCGCCACGAAATTTCCCAACTAGACTAAAATACCAAGTACCTACTAATAATAATTATGACATAACATCACGCCTTTTATCCCCGAAGGGGTAGGCAGAGGTAACACCGACTTTTCACTATTTATGTTATGAGTCCCATGTAATAAGGGGTGTGCCTATTGCCGTATACCGGACACATTTCCAGACTCCGTGCTACTACTGAGCTTTTTTTAACCCGAGACCCCTTTCTCGGCAGTCGCACTTGCGACCACTCGGCCAACGAGGCAGTAATAATAATGATATAAGTAAAAATAGCCTACATATTATTGGATTGAATCCTGGAATTTCCTTTCACTCGTAATCAAGTGCTCATTCAGTGTCTAGGTCATTTATCTCAGAGACAATTTATACAGACATTACCGCTTGTTAGCTAGATAAGAACTTATCAGTGATTGGTCGACGCTTCAACGTAAATAACTCTGATTCGCTCGTGAATGAGAACTGCCAATGATGTAGGACGACTAATGAGGATAGTGTTAGCTGTTTCGTTGTAGATTAAGAAAGTAGTTAAATTAATAGCATACGTGTGTTGTTTTATAATGAGGTATTTTTTAAATATAGCAATTGTCAATCAATTTTTCGAACTTAAAAATAACATAACATACCTAACATCACGCCTTTTTATCCCCGAAGTGGTAGGCAGAGGTGCACATTGCGGCACTTAATACCACTGTACAATGTAACACCCCCTTTTCACTATTTATGTTATGCGTCCCATGTAATAGGGGGCACATTTCCAGACTCCGTGCTACTACTGAGATTTTTAAAAACCCAGTAATACTTTGCCCGACCCGGGAATTGAACCCGAGCCCCCTTGCCCGGCAGTCGCACTTGCGACCACTCGGCCAAAAAGTCAGTCAGAACTTGATAATACCAAAACATATTCGATTGAAAGGTGTATTTCAAGTAAAACAAAATCCTCACTCCGTTTTTGTTCATTTCTGGACATAGGCCTACCCAATAGGACACTATTTTAGAATGTAAATGTATAAAAGAAATACACACAAATAACCTACATTCAAAAAAAAACAAACGAAACATTAATATTATATAATCCAAACACGACGCTCTCATTCGATAACACTTCAAAGTAATGTCACATTTTCTTACGCAACAACAAAATCACAATCAATACATAAAACAAACACTGAATACTATTCCGCATTACAAAATCGATGTTCGTGACTTACGCACTCATTTTAAAAATAGTGACGTTTTTGTTCTACGACTAAAATCGTCACCACATTCACGTAGACAGCTAACAACTCGTCTTTAAGATTTAAATTCTAGTAGTGTTTTGTCTTCCAAAGAGACAACATCGACAAAAAAATAATAAGCGTACAATTTACATTTTTTTGTAGAACCTCACTCGAATTTATGAGGTCATACTGTATACAGTGTCCTACATCATTGGCAGTAAAAGAGTTGAATCATATGATAACGCTCAGTGTGTAGTGTAATGTCCCCAAATATACAAATTAAAATGAAATTTCCTTCATTGTGTGTATTTTTAATATGTTTTGGTTTCACCAGAGCGGCCTTGGAGAAATATGGACCTCTCAGCTTCGCGTTAAAAATGGTTAAATGTGAGTATTGTTTCTCTTTGTTTATATTAACATGTAATATGTATATTAAAAGTGTTTACATTGTAGTTTTGTTTTGAAATGTAATAAATACCACATGTGTGACATGAATTCATTGTCAAGTTGTTTACTTCGTTAGGTAATATTTCTTAAAGAAATAGATCAATAATTCTTTGTTAATACTTGATTATAAAATGATATTTATATAAGTTCGACAATATTTTTAGTGCACGTATTTTATATTAATTTGTCGTAATTATTTTTATTTTTTTTTGAATACGAGGCAAACGAGCAGACGGATCACCTGATGGTAGCCTACTTAACATCAAAGCGTATTTTTTTCTGTTCGAAAAGAATCTAGGTTGGTGCTTAAGAAAATGAGAGATAAATTAATTTGTCCGGACTGACACATCGTGTCCTCTTTCGAGGCTACAAACAAAATGCCACTATGCAAAAAACATCAATTACGAACATAACTTAAAACACAAACTGCTAATTATGAAATAACTGAAATTAAACAGAAATTCTTGGACACTCAAAATATGCTAAGATCAGCGACTGCCTTTAAAATCTGATTTGAATAAAAATAACTTAGGCGCTGCGCAAACGTAGACACTTTTTGATTGCATTTATAGACACCGAACACTGTTTGATCGATATTGAGTATGTAGTAGGTGGAAGCAACTTGACACACGTATGCACAACGAGTGGATGATTTCACACTGTTTCTATAGAAATTAAGTACTCATCGGTAATTTGTGTCTGTGTCTTGTGTCACTACACTCAAAAATGTCCACGTGTGTGCCCTGCCTTAAACACGGCATCGAACCGTGACGGTTAGTTTTTATTGTTAAATATAGTAATATTGTGTTACACAGAGCTATTCACTTGTTTGAATAGCTGAGGCCTTTTTGCGGACCGTTAGTTTGAGTATAATAAGATCAAATGTATTCTACAGTTTGTATAAAACAATACAAACAAATCTTGTGTAGTTGCCTTAGTTTTGTAGCGTTAGTGTTATGAAAATATTTTTTTATCTGCTGCAAAGATAAATATTTTTGTAGAACGTAGAATACTCAACTAAATATTAGTCACTCTCTTCTTAATATGTGTCGTAAGAACCGGACCGAGCAGCGCTCTCTGATAAATAAACTTGGCCCTTTTAAACTGTGATCACTGTGACTTACCTACTGAGAGTGGAGATTATGAAACCTTCTTAAGTAAAGAAGCCTATAATCTAGTAGTGGTCACGAGTTGATAATGGTGACGTATATATTACTAACATGACGTATATTTCTATTTACAGGTGAACACAGCCGAGACCTAAATCTGGATGTCAGCGGCATCGACGTATACTTCTACGACTTCCAAAATGGCATCACGGAGTCTTTTCCTATCAACGAAGCTGCCGACAGAATCCTAGCCTTGCAAGACCTGGATAAAGTAAAGAAATTCTTTATGTTCGTTGGTGGCTTCAAATCACACATCAATAAGAATACAGAAGAACGCGTGAGAAACGCCTTCAGAGAATTCCCCAACAGCTATCTGATCATCATCGACCATTCAGCCTACACCAATGACAGACAAGGCAAAAAGAAAAGTTATGAACGTTCAGTTAAATACGTCTACTACATAGGTAAACAGTTGGCTCAAATGTTGGTGGGTCTTCACGAAGGAGGAATCTCACCTAAAACTATTCACTGCATCGGCCATAGCTTGGGCAGCCAAATGTTAGCCCATGTTGGTGAGATCTTCTTTGAAACTACAGGTGAGAAGATCGCCAGGATAACTGCATTAGACCCAGCTGGCCCTTGTTTCTCGAACAGTTTGATTCAGGAGCAGATCAGGGCTGGTGTAGCAGATTACGTTGAAGTATACCATTGTAACGCTGGTGGGTTAGGTACGACCAGTGTGCTAGGCGACGTAGATTTCTTCGTGAATAAAGGGGGATCTCAACCAAACTGTGGTACTGCCTTGATTCCAGGTATCATAGACTCCTCATTTTCTGCTAAATGTAATCATAAGACTTGTGTCACGATGTGGACAGCATCTGTAACTAATCCTGAAGGATATACGGCGTATAAATGTGATAAATATAAATATTTTAAAGGTGGTATGTGTTCACTCAATGATAGAGCCATTGCTGGGTTCTGGAATCCTGGTAACGCGACTGGTGTATACTACTTCTCTACTGAAGGTTATGATTTAAGTTAGTTGAATATATATAACAGTAAGTTTCATCATAATGCAAATAGCTAACCTTTCGCGATTTGCTTTGCTTTTAAATTATTTCCAAAGACTGAATGTACATAAACTCTTATATTCAAGCTTGAATTGTAAAGTGGAAAACACAGTCGGATTATTCATCAATACATAGTATAAAACAAAGTCGCTTTCGCTGTATGTCCGTATGTATGCTTAGATCTTTAAAACTACGCAACGGATTTTGATGCGGTTTTTTTTAATAGATAGAGTGATTCTTAAGGAAGGTTTGTGTGTATAATACATGCATATTGCACCCGTGCGAAGCCGGGGCGGGTCGCTAGTTAATTATAAGATACGATAAGAATACCAAGAACAATATTTACATACCAACGTTCACGCTCTGCAGAAGCACTATAACTAATATATTATTTCATTAAATTTAAATTATTAATCTATAATTTTATGGGAAATATACTTTTATCAATGTTGTCATTTACAACATAATTCATAGCAAGCTCACTGGACGGTGGATATAATCAAGATCGAATAATATTATTTATTAGTACGGTGATCCGTACACGAAACACACGTCCAGACTACACAAAATTTTCACACTTAATATGTACATACGATGACTATTAATATTGAGAAAAATAGACAGGCAAAAGTAAATTGTAACTACAACTTTAATAATTGCACCAAGTAAGTAACAATTACCTCCTATAAAACCATAATGGGCACTGAACTTTGTCACGAATAAAAAGAAGGATTAGGAAATGAAACAGTAAACCATAAGGTTTGCTGACGTAATATTCCGAAAATGTCATGTTCATAATGAATTCAAAGTATTTGTTTATATTTTAGTCATTATGTATACCATACATGTATATAGTATTAATTACAATACCATACCGATTTTGGATGTCAAGGAAAAATAATTGAAGGACTTTGGAGGCTTACGTGACTTGATTCAATGTGAAATGGGTTGAAATATGTACTAATCGTCATCTTTGAAAGAAAAAGCTATAGGCATCATTTACTTTATGTTTTAATTTATTAGGATTCGTGTTAATTTTACATTACACTGCTAATTTGTAATAGTAGTCCCTAAACAAATTGATTGTGTTACTGGATACCGAATAGAAAATCTTGTCGGTCGTTGCACTGACGACCTCTCTAAGAGGCAGTCAACATCTATACTCTATACAAATATTATAAAGCTGAAGAGTTTATTTTTTTGTTTGTTTGAACGCGCTAATCTCCAAAAGTACTGATTCGAATTGAATAATTCTTTTCGTGTTGGATAGTCCATTTATCGAGAAAAGCTATAGGCTATAAAACATCTCGCTACGACCAATAGGAGCCGAGCAGAGCGGGTGAAACCGCGCGCAAGTAGCTAGAATTATATAAGATCTACTTAGGTTTATACATACAGAGAGTATGGAACGAGATTTAGGTTTATTTTAGATTTATTATAGTTTTATAAGTGCAGACGATAAGCTTTTTTATTTTTGTTTTGTCATGAATAAGTTAAATAATTCTTACAAATAATAAATTTATTTGATTACTAAAAGACTATTATTTATTTGTTATATGTTTGATCACTTTATCTGCAAGTCCGTTAAAAACGATATATTTGCTTGATTACCGCGTACGACGTAGGACGCAGATTCTAATAATTACTTTTTTTATGGCATAAGCCGGTAAACGAGCAAACGAATCACCTGATGGTAAGCAATCGGCGTCGCCCATGGATATCTGGAACACCAGAAGGGTTACAAGTGCGTTACCGGATTTTTGAGGATTAGTAGTTTGAGGATTGTTGGGGATTCGGAAATTGGGGAGATTGGGGAAGGGGAGGGTAGCTGGGCCTCCGGTAACCTCACTTACACGATGAAACACAACGCAAGCGTTGCTTCACGTCGGTTTTCTGTGAGGCCGTGGTATCACTCCGGTCGAGCCGGCCCATTCGTGCCGAAGCATGACTCTCCCACACTTAAACTTTCTGCTAGCGGCTAAACCGAGTTCCCATAGGATAAAAAGTAGCCTACGAGCGATTTTAAACCATAATTTATCGCTGTTAAAAGTTCATTCCGATCCCTTCAGCCATTTAGATGTGATTGAGTAACAAACATAGACACAAATTTACTCATTTATTATTTCTATTTACATTACATAAATATATAACATCATGCCTTTTATCCCCGAAGGGGTAGACAGAGGTGCAAATTATGCCACTGTACAATGTAACACCCACTTTTCACTATTTATGTTATGAGTCCCATGTAATAGGGGGTGAGCCTATTGCCATTTACCGGGCACAATTCCAGACGCCGTGCTACTATTGAGAATTTTGTAAAAACCCAGTAATACTTTGCCCGAGTATCGAACCCGAGAGCCCTTGCCCCGGCAAACTTTGTACCGCCTAAATTTTTTTCTCATCTTTTCAACCTTCCCTGGAGTTCCACGAATAATTCCAAGACCGACAGCCAGCCAAATCGGTTCAGCCGGTCTCGAGTATTAACAAGACTAATAAACGGAAATTCATTTTTATTTATGTAACTAATTATTTCTATTTTATTTATAAAGCTATAAATTATGCTACGTTTTTATAATAACTATCGTGAGACATACCAAATTAACTAAAAATCATGGGTTACTAATGTGAATATACTGAGAAAAGCTCTACTAGTTTCGAACCACAGGGGGGTTCTTCCTCATGAGCAGCGTGCGCGGTCGCGGTGATGTCGAGCAGCTGTTAGCTAGTATAGCTTTTTCAGTATATTCACGTTACCGTGATTTTTAGTTAATTTAGATTGTGCTACATTAAAATTCAAAACTGAATAATTGTTCCAAATAAAAACTGGATGCAAGTTTTGGACAAATCATTTCACGTTTTGTTTTCTTTTACAATTTCGTGAGCTATCAATAGCAGTATAGTATTTCAATATGCACAATCAAAACAGTAGAGATCTGCTTTACGAAGAAACATCTGTTTCTCAAAGCCGTTCCAGTTCCATGAGACCACAACTTGCGCGACGGTTGTAAAGGGTCATCACACGGAATGTACAGAATCGCTGCGTCTTGCGTTGAAGTAGAGGACCTACTATGTTATTTGTTTTATTTTTCAGGTGGACTAGCTATGAACACGCGCTTCTATGTCGCGGCTGGTAACCGGGGCTCCGGCTCAACGTGCAGGAGAAGGAACGGGGTGGTTTTTAGTCAGTAAGAGTCTAACACTCCCTCCCGCCTCACCTAGGCGGGAGCAGTCATCCGATGATTTTCCCCCCTTAAAAAAAGACACTTTTTTCCCACGCTATTATTCATCTCCACTTAACTCCGTAAAAAAGGGCAAACAAACACAATTTCGCATTTATATTTTTTAATGAAATAAGAAACAATCGAACAGGCGGATCGCATGATGGCAAGCGGCGCAACACCAGAGGACTCACAGGTGCGTTGCCGGCCTTTTAAACAGGAATACGCTCTTCTCTAGAAGGTTTGAAAATTCGGTATATTAGTAAGGATTAATAAATAAACAATAAATCAACGTCGACCCATAAGCAACCAATTCACTCGTGCCTTGAAGACACCCTTCAGAAAATACAGGGTCAGGCAAATAATTCCACTCCTTAGCAGTACGCACATGGAAGCTTGTGCGAAGCGCTTCGTGCGTGTTGGTGGGATATCTACCATGAATCGGTGACGCTTCGCCGATTGCCTTATGTCTACCGAAAAAATCTTAGTAACAAGAAAATTAGAATATTTGGACTATACTTTTTACCATATATATTGTTAATATGCCACTACATCTGCTTTTGACAAATTCCGATAATATATTAAAAAAACACTAACAAAGACTTTTAACGGTAATATACCGTTATTTATGCAGTTAATTATGCAGATCAGGCAAGGACAATTTAATTAAGTGAACCTAATTAATTTATTAACGTAACATGCCCAAAAAGTAAATATGATTGTCCAGGAAAAGGTATGTATTTTGAACAGTAAGGGAAAATAGTTCTTTAGGATTTCGCTATATATAAAGCAAAATTCTCTACTAATTTCACATTCGCCAACGATATTCAGGAGAACAAACAAGGTAGAAATAGCATTAAAAGTGAAAAGAAAGAAAACGTCAAAAAGCAAAATGCGAATGTTTAGTTTTTGTTTATTTTCATTAATTTGTTTGAGTGGAATCACCCAAATCAGCGGTGGTAAGGTGACACAAGATCTCATGGGTTGGCTTTTAGGCCTGGTTACAAACTGTGAGTATTAACTTGAAAAATAATTCTGTTCATGAGTTTATTTGGCTCGAAGTTCATCATAACATTTTACTAATTCACAAATTAGTATATTTTAACAACTGACTGCGTCGTTGGCCGACTGGTCGCGAGTGCGATTGCCGGGCAAGGGGTCTCGGGTTCGATTCCCGGGTCGGGCAAAGTATTGCTGGATGTTTTAAAAATTCTCAGTAGTAGCACGGAGTCTGGAATTGTGCCCGGTATATGGCAATAGGCTCACCCCCTATTACATGGGACTCATAACACAAATAGTGAAAAGTGGGTGTTACTTCTGTGTGCACCTCTGCCTACCCCTTCGGGGATAAAAGGCGTGATGTTATGTTAAAATTAAATATATTTTAACAAAAGTAAAACATTCTTGTTTTTCGTTGTATTCCAATCTTCATAATTAAATTGGAACTCCTCTTCAACAGGTGACGCTCAGAGAGGCGCGAACCTAGACGTCAGTAAACTAAATGTCCATTTTTACGATGTGCGTACAGACCAACCCAAGTCGTTTCCTATAAATAAAGCTGCAAAAGACATAATTTCCATTGTCAAACATGACAAAAACAAGCAGTTCTTCATATTTATCGGTGGTTACAAAACACACATTGACCACCCGACTGCAGACCTAGTAAGAGAAACCTTTAAAAACATCCCCAACAGTTACCTGATTATCATAGACCATTCCGAGTACACTCACAATTTTGATGGCAACCGAGAGTCATACAGAAGGTCCGTCGAATATGTCTACTCTATTGGGGTAGAAGTAGCAAAAATGTTGACTGAACTCCACAAAGAAGGAATTATTGCTAAAGGTATCCACGCTATCGGCCACAGCTTGGGTGCCCAAATACTGGGCTATGTTGGACATCATTTCATTAAATTGACTAATGGTCAGAAAATTGCTAGAATTACAGCATTAGACCCAGCTGGCCCTTGTTTCTCAGACCGTCCGAAGGAGGAGCAGATCAGAGCTGGTGCGGCGGATTATGTTGAAGTTTATCATTGTGACGATGGTTTTTTAGGTACGAAGAGTAGATTTGGTGATATAGACTTCTATATGAACAAAGGGTTCGAGCAACCACAGTGTGAGTTATCATTTTGGAAAAACCTTTGGATTCTTAAACCGAAAATATGCAGCCACAAGGTTTGTGTGGCCGCGTGGATGTCTACAGTTACCCATCGCGAAAGATTCCCAGCTACACAGTGTGACTCATATGAATCGTTTAAACAAGGGAAGTGCTCTCAGAACAGCAAGACCATTGCGGGCTTCTCCAATCCTGGTACTGCGAAAGGAACTTATTACTTCTCGACCAAAGAATACGAAAAGTTTTAAGAACATAACATAACATCACACCTTTTATCCCCGAAGGGGTAGGCAGAGGTGCAAATTATGCCACTGTACAATGTAACACCCACTTTTCACTATTTATGTTATGAGTCCCATGTAGTAGGGGGTGAGCCTATTGCACACCCAGGCACAATTCCAGACTCCGTGCTACTACTGAGGTTTTTTTAAAAACCCAATAATGCTTTGCCCGACCCGGGAATCGAACCCGAGACCCCTTGCCCGACAGTCGCACTTGCGACCACTCGGCCAACAAGGCAGTCGTCGATCGTAAATACTTTAATATTAATATTTTTGCTACATACGTTTTCTTAGTCACCGCGTAACAAGACCTCACAAGTAATATAGAGGTAAAGTAAAAATAAAAGTACTATCGACATTTTAATATTGTAATCTCATTTTTCTTTGTATTTTGCTTTTTTGTTTCATTTTCTTTAGTTAAGTTAAACTAATAATAGAAAATTATATGATAGGTATAAATTTTAACTAAGTAATATTAATATTATAAATACAAATAATAAAAAACTGTATTATTTAGGTACTCCTTAAAATTACCTTAAAAAAATATTACTAAGACACCACCATACATTCAATTACAAAAAGCGGCTATCCTAAACACGTGCCGTATAGTTAGTTAATTCATGCAGATGAAAATGAAATCCCACATCACCAACCCAAACTATAGAACCGATTGATAGTCATAGTTGACCAACAATAATCTAAGTCATACTTACTAGGGTTGTCAGCATAATAATGATTTGTATCAACATAGTAATATTTTGTATGTTTGTTCACTGATGTGATAATGCATCTTATTATTGTATTGTGTTGTGTTACCTTTTAATCTTCCTTCATCATCATCATCATCAACAGCCTATAAATGCCCACTGCTGAGCAAAGCCTCTTCTCACACGGAGAAGGTTAGAGCGTTAATCACCACGCTTGCTCAATGCGGGTTGGTGATTTCAAACTTATAATTAGAAATTATAAGTCCAGGTTTCCTCACGATTTTTCCTTCACCGTTTGTCAGTGGTGTCTAAATAATCTTAGAAAGTACATATAACTCGGAAAAAGTCACATTGGTACTTGCCGTTGGTAGGTTTCGAACCCGCACCCTCATGCATGAGAAGTGGGCGTCTTAAACCTCCGGGCTACCACGACAGGCCTTCCCTTACATTACATTACTTTCTGGTTGAGCTAGTCTTACAAATGTCGTGAAACTCTGTAATTGGCTTAAATGATAATTGTCATCATCTCGCTATCACTGTGCAGCGTGTGTCGACTTTACTTTGCTAGCTTGTATATATTCTTTGTTTCATGTAACTGCATAAGGCTGTGCATTGATAGTGTGATGTGTATTCCCAACTCATGTAACTATATTAATAAGCTGTTGAGTTTCCAAATAAACAAAATAAAATAAAAATAAATAAAATAAAACAGCTACCGAGTAATATTCTTTAAATGTCATTTACTTGGCGGAAGCCCATAAAGGACATTAGAATCGGCCTTAGAGCCAAGAGCAAGAAGGATTGCAATTAATAATATTGTTAGCCTAAATAATAGAGAAATGGAGTATCAAAGTACAGGCATATGTATGCCTAAACGAAGACGCCACGACATAAACATACATTTTTATTCGTTTAATAAAAGTGGTCCACTCAATGTATCCGATGTATATTATTTTTTTATTTATTTTAATTCGCTTAACCAACAGCACAAAATATACGAAAAAGGATATGCTAATACAAAGCCAATTATATCCACAGTATATCTTAACAGAGGTTTTGCGAATGCAATGCACTTAAAAGTATAAAACACTAGCTTCTGCCCGCGACTTCGTACGCGCCACCTCGATATTTCCCGGTCCCGTTCTTAATTTTCGGTAAAAAGTAAAAAAAAAATATTGGGTAAAAAGTATCCTATGTCCGTCTCCTGGTTCTAATCTACCTCCCCACCAATTTTCAGCCAAATCTGTTCTGCCGTTCTTGAGTTATAAGTGGTGTAACTAACACGACTTTCTTTTATATATATAGATTATGTTCATTCAAAAAATTTAAGGTTTAGTCGCCTACGCACCCTGGAACTGCTTGTGGTTAATGGATCGAGTTCTAAATCCTTGCACAATTTATTATAATTCCTACTCACTCGCACAATATAGGAATTTTGTCTATAGTTTGAGGAAGAAGTTGGGACAGCAAATATAAGCGATTATTACTGCCTGATCAGGGCGCTTACAACAAGCTTATTTAAACATTAAATAATTATTGAGATTTTACTAGATTGAAATTAAATTGATATTGAAATTTATTTCAAGAGTACGTGATCTGAGCCTGACCTGTACTCATCATATAAATATAACGCGGAAGAAGTCACATCGGTATTGGCTAGGTTGGGGCTTAGTTTGTGTTGGAGGGGATCAACACCTCACTCCTTTGCGCATCTTAAGGTCACCTTTCGCAGGCAGGCCGCCACGAGTTCGGGGGCTGCGGAAGAATGTGACTCTCGCACCCTCGTACTCACGCATCAGACGGGACTCCGGGTAGGGTTTTAGCCAGGAAGAGACTGACAGTCCCTCTCGTCCTCCCCAGACGAGGGTGCTCCATGAGGATTTTCCACATAGGCGTCAAAAAAAAACTAAAAGGCCTTAGTTTCCGTCAAAGTGTCCGCATAAATATCCGCACAAGCCATGCTATCTATAGCATGGCTTGAAACTAGTCGAGTTTCTATGCCTACATAGAGGATTCATGAGCAGCATTTCGCGACCTGCGCAGCGCGAGAGTTGCCCCGAAACTAGTCGAGTTCCTCGTCAAATAATTACGTGAGTAAGCCGAAAACATAATAATTTATTTAGTACTAGCGACCCGCCCCGGCTTCGCACGGGTGCAATATGCATGTATTATACATACAAACCTTCCTTAAGAATCACTCTATCTATTAAAAAAAACCGCATCAAAATCCGTTGCGTAGTTTTAAAGATCTAAGCATACATACGGACATACAGCGAAAGCGACTTTGTTTTATACTATGTATTGATGTCTCAGGAAAGTTATAATACAAAAAAGTGTCTTCAGATTAGGACTCACCATTTTAATGTCTGACACAAAGATAACTTGATAAGATTATTCATTTTCATTTTATTTCCTCACATCTATTATAGAGAATAATATAAAAAGCTGCGTGTAATTCGTGTGGAAGGCTCTAATGTGCACTTAGCGCCTAGATGCGACAGCTACACACTACACTTTTCGTAAAGGAAAGAGCTTTTGTTTTAAAAATGACATTATTTCTCTTTCGCGCCAAGAAATGGACAGATTGCACTTTGTGTGACGCTGACAGGAATATTGTATGCTGCCATGGAATATATTTAGAGCATTTTTTAAGTGTTTTCCCGTCATTCCTTTTAGCCAGAATTGTACACCTAAATTTCCACAGTTCTACTATAAATCCCATATAATAGGGAGTGAGCCTGTAAAATTACATAACATAATATCACGCCTTTTATCCCCGAAGGGGTAGGCAGAGGTGCTAAGGTAGGTACTATAAACTAAAATACTAGAACGTGTCGTTAATTAATTTTAAAGATAATAATAAAGCAGTCCTCAAAAAACAGCAAATATCTGGAACGGAAAGCAAAACATAGACGAACTATTTCAATGAGGGAACTTTATGTTCAAAGCGAGGCCACAGATATTTCAGTTTAACCAATATCTGGGCATATAAGCGTAAAAGTCGAAACTATCTACAGTTAATGGAATAACTGAAGACCAGTGGGTGAGTTGGATAACATCGACTCAGAATAAAAAAATGGTCAACGTAACGCAAAAAGGGAATGTTTTTCGGTGTAGTTTTTTTATGGAATTAGTTGATAAACGAGCAGACAGATCACCTGATGGTAAGCAATCTGCACCGCCCATGGGCACCCAGAACACAAGAGGAGTAACAGGTGCGGTGCCGACCTATAAAAAATGTTTACACTCTTTTCTTTGTTAACAAACTGATAATAAAATTCCATAAACAGACTACAACACCCTCTTTTTTGAAATTGGTTAATTAATAAAGTAAAACCTTCTGTCAAACGCTTTTTTGAAAACCGAATCAAAATCGGTTCAGGTAATCGCGAGACAATCGCGCACTAACACACCTGTATACCTACAGGTCAAATTGAGAACCTTTTTTTTTATATGGAATAGGGGGCAAACGAGTAGACGGATCACCTGATGGTAAGCGATCAGCGCCGCCCATGGACACCCTCAACACCATAATAGTCACAGGTGCGTTGCCGGCCTTTTAAAAAGGAATACGCTCTTTTCTTGAAGGTTTGAACCTCCTTTATTTCCTTTTAAAGTCGGTTAAGTACAAAACATAATAAATTGTGAGATAAAATTAATTGAACATTAATGACGAAGGAAGCTTATAAAACATCGTAAATTACGAACAAAATAAGGGAACGTAAGCAAGTCTGCTATAAAAATATATTTTTTCCACTAATGAAAGAAATGCCTGTTAAAACAGAAAATGGAGTGCTTTTAAAGAAAAAAGTAATTAAACAACCTTTTATAATAGCTCGAACCATTAAACGTTTTGTGGTGGATGAAGAAATATGGATGATGCTTACATCCAATGTAGATATTTCACGAAAAAACTAGAATCAACCGCGGATTTTCTCACATTATCAAAATGAAACTAAACTTATGTATTCGTGTTATTTTTTTATGTATGTAAGCATCTGGACAATATTGCAAACACACTTTTATTTTAACACCCTATATCCCCCGAATCCCCGAATCCTCCACAATCCTCAAATTCCCAATTCCCAAAAGGCCGGTAACGCACTTGTAACGCCTTGGTGTTTCGAGTGTCCATGGGCGGCGCCGATTACTTACCATCAGGTGATCCGTCTGCTCGTTTACCGGCTTATGGTATAAAAAAACACTATTAACTTATACTTTGACGTTATTTTGACTGTTAGAATTTGGAAACACGATTAA